TTCCAGCCCATTCATTTGCCACCACAACCTCCTCTCTCCACACCAGGCCCTCACTGTGCAGAGATATTTTTCTAAGAAATAGCTTTGTAACACAAACATGCTTAGAACTTTCCAGGTGTAATGAATGGTTGCAAGTCTGTGTTGAAGCAGTATACTAGTGCTTACATTTTTCAACTCAAAGATGAATTTTATAATGAAATAGTAAATAAACTGCTTTTGACATTGTACCAAGGGAAGTTGCTTTGTCAAGTTTAAGTATCAAAGGGTAATTTCCCAAATGATAGTAATTTAAAAATTATAGATGATTTAAAAGTCACAAGCTTATTTTGCTATGTTGTATTCAAAGCTTAAAATAACTCATTCACATTTTTATGAGAACTTTTAAGGACAGGAGGGGTTAGATGCTAATTCTGAACCTAGAATGTCAAAGGTTAAGCAAATTTCAAAATAAGTCACAATACAGTAATATATAGCCACAGAATATACTTTTCATACTTTTACTGATGAACAAAGATGGTTGTGAAGTGAAAAGAAATGTTCACATCACAATATCAAAATTCAGAGTAGACCCAGAGACGTGGAAGTAGGGTACAGACTGACGACCCTCAGAAGAGGAGGAGGTGGGGGAGGCAAGAGATAAACCACAGAACTTATATGCATGTGTGCATTACCAATGGTCACAGACAACAAAGCCGGGTACCAGGTGGGGGAGATGGTGAGGAAAGTGTCAATGGGAAAAAAAGGAGAAACATCTGTAACAAAAATAAATTAAAAAAAATAAAAAATAAATAAAGAAAAAAAAGCAGTGGAAAAAACCAAAACCAAACCAAAACTCAGTTCCTGGGCGACTTCTTGCACCACCGTTCTCTGCCACCCACATGGCTTGGCTCTTGCTCCCTGGGCACTATAGTTTGTGTCCCTTTCACAGAACTTCTCACACTATGTTCAGATTGTTCTTTTACTTCCTGCATCCCTCCCTAGACTAAAAATCAGTGAAGTAACTTTTTTTTGGTTTTGGTATCTCCACAGCCTGGCATACCATAGTTGCTCAATAATATGGGTTGAAAAAATTCAATATAAAGTAACAAAAGAAGAGGCAGTAAGCATTTTAGAAAATTTTCAGAAATCTAACATTAAATATTAATTTTAGAAATTCAGGTAGAGAACTGGAATATATTATTTTCATTCTCTTACCCTAAAAATGAATTTTAGAGAGTTCATTTTTTTTTTTTTTTTCCAAAAGTACTTCAGAGTTGTACACACAGAATGTACCTTTACTAAGTAAAACTGAACAACAATGGATAAACCTGTGATCATTCGGTCTGATTTTCCTGTGGTCACCACCCTACCATGGCCAAACCATGTTGCAGTTTTATTGTTGAATGTCAATAAAGAATGACCCAAACATTCTTTCCAAACACCCTCAATAGAAGTCAGTCATTATTTATACTGTTCACACACTGGTTTATGTTTGTGAGCATAATATATCTAAAGTAATATAACAAATATCACATCTCTTCCTAGTACTCAAGCCTTATGGGTTAGCATGCTTGCAATAGAAGCATGTTCACATGAATGACAAGATTCCCATGCCAAGAGCCTCCATTTATGCTATGACCACATGATTTAAGACCTAGGTTCATTCTGGTTTCTAGTAAAATGGATCTAAAGAATAAAAAATACATGGCTAGTTGCATTGTTTCCCTGATTTTTCTGCATGCTAGTAAGGATGTAGACCCTACTGTGTGTTTAGTTAAAGAAACAAACAAAGAAAGCAGAGGGTAACTTCAGGGTGGGCGGTGGGGTAACAGAGTGTGGGCACAAGCTTACAGCATATGAAAAAAAATCGAATTTAATCATTGAAGTTCCATTCCCTTTGCACTATTAACTATCTTCTGGTTCAGAACCAACCATGTAGAAACTGTTTTATCCTCAACCTGGAGAATGAGCAAATTAAAACATAATTAATTTACACTTAAGCAGTAGCCCTAATTGTGTGTGTAATCATCATGTTAACTTATTTTCATAATGAAAAAGAAAAAGAATAAGAAGCAATAAATAATACAGAGCTCAAAGCTTCCCAAGGTGTGAAGCAGAGAAGAAACCCTGGTAATTTAGGGAGAAGAACAACATTTAAGTGTATCATTAAAGAAAGATTCTGTAATAAACTGTTGGAATCATTTTCATTAATTGTGACATCTAAGAAACTAAAGGCCTTTTGTTTTCTTTTTTTTTTAAGTAGAAAAGCCAAAGGAAAATTTTTTTTGAGGTAGTGTCAGGAAGTAACAGACAAAGTCACATTTATAGCAAAGGGTGGTTAGGTATTTGGGAAAGTGATTTCACTTGTGGAATTGTCCTTATGAACTTTAAGCTTCAGTAAAAATAAAAAAAATCACTGAGTTGTGTTTCATGGTTAGGACACCTGTCAGAACCTTATATTTCTTGGCACTTCCCAGATCAATGTAATTACATGTGTGACAAGTATTTTTGTCTTCACACATGAAATAATAGGTTTGCACTCAATAGGCCCAAGGAAAAGTCTTTCTCTTCTGAGAAACTCAAGGCATAAGCTAAACACAGGCATTTGATAACACTTCACAAACATATCACATATAAATTAACACCAAGACAAAAAAAATATGACCAAATAAATCTAAGCACAGTGATAATGAGGCCAGTAACCAAGTAACTTGCTATGTACTGCTCTGGCACCCAAAATCATATTAGAAGTTCTTGGTAGATAGTCCATAGAGGAGCATAGAAATCATAGAACTAGAAACCTTAAGAGATCTTTGAATACTTGAACAACTGTAACATTTTATAAATGAAAAATTTTGAGATCTAGACAAATTAAGTAATACTAAAAAAACCAAGGGGCAATGGCTGAGTTGACATTAAAACTAACAGTCTGTTGACTTCAAGCTAACTCACATTCATTCAACCTCTATTTCAGTCTAGTTTTAATGGAGAGGCAGCACAGTTATCCTGAGAAAGTCACATTACATCAGATCATGGTTTCATATCACTATCATAGCAAGTAGACATTTGAGCCCACGAGGTGAGCAGTGCATTTCCAGATTCAGTTAATCATTTAAGCATAATAAGGTAGAACGGAAATTCATTACCATGTGAAGAATGTAGGAAATGCAATGGTTCATTTTCAGTTCATGCAAACACATATTTTTTTTCCAGGCTATATGAAAGATTTAGCTTCATCACAATAATAAGGGAGTGGTTGCATATCCTGTGCAGAATTCTAGCTACAAGAACTCTAGTAATTATTAGGTTCTTTGTTTTACAGGAGAAACATATAGAAGAGTGAGTTAAATCAGCAAAGGTTTCAACTCACCTAATTTGAGACATGGCTACCCTCAGTTGTGGCTATCTGTAGGTGGTTCATATATTATGAAAACCTTCTGGATGAACTGGGTGGGGGTGCTGCCTGAGGTTTTCACAAACTTTCAGTCCCAGAGTCAACGTCTGAAATCAAGACAACCCTCACATACATTTTTCTATATCCTGAGACATAGAAATTCTGAGTTTTAGAGATCATAGTCATCTCTGCTGAAGAGATCAGAATATGACAGCTTTGGTGCTGAGACACAAAGGCCACGCCCTGGTGCTGGCAGGAGAAGTGGCACAAGGCCAATTCTGTCAAAAGCACTTTCCTTTCTCAATCAGTTCTCATAGCTTTAATCTTCGGCATTACTTCTTCCCCCATGATATTGACATGAAAATACCTAAAATGAGCTCTAGAGACAGGCAGAAATTAACACAAATATTTACAAATGTCACCTGGAAATCACAATAGTGAAATATTTTATTTCACTGAGAAGTCTTTTCTTCCGGCTAAAAAGCCTCAAAGTGGACTCAGTGCCTATTTAAAATATTATATTTTATATAATCAATAGGATTATAGAAAGAAAAAATGAAGTGTAAAAGCATTTTATAAATAGAAGTATTCTTTTGGAACACAAAAATTCCAATCTTTTAAATGAGTTAATATCAATTTTGTTTTTGTTTTTAAACCTATCTAAAATAATAATTTATCTCTCTTTAAAAAGACCTATATCCCCTAGGCAAGAATACCTTTGTTTAAACTTTCTTCTTCCTTCTGTATTTTTTAAACTATTTAACACATAGGTTATGTTAAAATTTGTCCTTAATGATGGAGCCAAGCCAAGAATGCATTATCAAAGTTCTGTGAGTTTACACTGCCTCCAGCACTGTGATTCTGCTTAATAATTAATAGCTTCTAAAAAAAACTAGTCATCATTTCATGATTAAGGGGCAGAATTATAGAAAAAAAAAGTCCCAAATCTAATATTAAAAAGAGTAATGCTGGTTTTTTTTTTTTTTAATCCTCACCCAAGGCCATTTTTCCATTTTTCACTCAGATAGAGCGGGAAGGAGAGAGAGGAAGAGAGAGAAACATCGATGTGAAAGGGACACATCGAGTGGCCGCCACCCACACGACCCAACCAGGGCCGGGGACAAACTTCAGCCAAGGTACATGCCCTGAGCGGGAATCGAACCCGGGTCTCTGTGGACCGCAGGCTGACGCTCTAACTGCTGAGCCAAACCGGCCAGTGCAGTAATGCTGATTTTTAAAAGCACTGTTTAGAAGACGACAGGTATAGTTTTCTTTACAATACAGGTTGGTGGGTCTTTATTGTTGTTTCAACTCTTCTTGTAACACACCAGCTTTGCTAGGTTGATCAATACAGTAGGGTCCTCTGGATAACACTCAAAGTGGAAGACACTCTGTCTTAAACGTGTGACTAAAATGGAAATTTGTTCTTTAATGAAAAGTGAGAGACTATTTTAACTGTGAGGGACACGTAAACATTTAGACATGGAAGGGTTTATAAACAAGTATTTGAGGAAAATACAAAATGGTGGGGAGAGCCTGTTCCTGGCCCCATCCTCTTCTAGGGAGACAGAGTGCAGGGTCTGTGCAGGGCAGGGAGGGTGAGGGCAGAGGAGGAGCAGAGTCTCACCTGTATTCTCCAAAAGTGCCATCGTCTTCCTTCATGGGCTGGATTTCGGGATCAGCATGGGCATCTTCCTTTTCTTTAACTGAAAATTTCAAAATTACATTTTTATCTATCGATACTGTGTTTCCTTATTCAAAGTTTTTAAGAGTGCACTCTTTAAGCCCTGGCCCGTTTGGCTCAGCTGTTAGAGCGTAGGCCCACGGACCAAAGAGTTGTAGGTTCAATTCCAGTCAAGGGCACGTACCTTGGTTGCGGTCCTCCCCCCACCCCATCAGAGTCATGTAGGAGGCAGCCAATTGTGTCTCTCTTGCATCGATGTTTTTCTCCCTCTCTCTCTTTCTTTCCCATTCTGTCTGGAGATAAATGGAAGAAGTGTCCTTGGGTCAGGATTTAAAAAAACCACCAAAACAGAGTGCACTCTTTGAGATATATAGCAGTGAAAAAACACTTCCCTACAACCATATAGGTTGTATAACATTAACCTTATAAAGAAAGCAATGTTAAACATCATGCCATCAAGTCTCACTTTATGCATTATTTCCTCTGGAAGACTTCAAGTACCTCATTCTCTGCCTGTTGGCTGTAGGTGCTAGTTCAGCACCTATGATCTATGTGGAGCCTAGGAGAACAGAGTCACTAATATCTTCAAAGTACAGATTAATTAATTTCCCACAAATGCCTTCTGATGCTTGACAATGTTTAAGCTCCCATGAGATTAAAAAAAAAACAAAACTGTTTGAACAGAAAGTCCAAATTTATGGCTCTGTAAAGACATACTTATTGCAATCTACATGATTTACCCTCATGATTTTTTTTTTTATTTCAGTGGTTAATTATGCAGCATTATAAGGCAATTTTACTCTTTATTTCTTACCTGGATATTTACCACCCTTGTTTCTTCTGATGAAGCAAACAATCAACAAAATTAAGATAAGGAGAGCGACAGCACACATTAGACCAATGAACCAGCCTTGAGTTGCAATGTCCACCTGTCGGCTTGCCATTGCTGGAAAACAAATGAATGGTTGCAGTGAGAATGGGTTAAGGGAGATATGAGAACTGTTGTAGTCTCTTGTATAGAAAATTGCCATAGTATATAAACTTTTATATATTTTACATGTGGCCCCAAATTGGAATCTGTCAGTTATCAACATTGAAAAATCTTAATTAAAACAATTCAAATAGAGAAATCTGAATGCTAATACCATTAAATGCTAACAAACATTGCTGAACATTGTGTTCACAGTGATTTTAACTATGGATTCTCAGTGGAAACACAGTCTCAAACAAATGAACAAACTTACTGTTTATAAGATAAATTATTCATTACATACAATGGTAAGAATATAAGACTAAATTTTAAACAGAACAGAATGTATACATCTAATGGAGTATTTTTTCCTTCAAAGGAACCACATTGGAGGCTAAAATATCTTTGCAGTGAAGCTGCCATTTTTCAAAATGTTTTGGAACTCTGTTAAAAAATTAAACCTTCCACATAAGAAACATGTCCATATAAGATAACCAGCCTTATTAGTTTATATCTCAATTTTAAACCAAAATGTTACTTAGATTTTTTTATTCATCTCCTTTGTTGTTCATCTTATTTATAAAAGATGGTTGTGAATGACTTTTACAAATTCCTGAAAAATCCAATTTACCCTAAAATAAATCAATATTCAGTATAGTTTAGAATCCACTTAAAAGACTTTGAACTATATCTTAATCAGTGGCACCATTACTGGAATAAGTGACCACTTTAAAGAGAAAATACTCATTCACACGTATACATGTTCTTTAAGTCTTCGTCTATTCTGTTTGAGTCAATATATATGAAACCTCCTTTTCAACTAGTGGCAGTGTGCAAATCTCCTAAGAAAAACGTAAAATAATTAGCATTTCTAGTATTATTCAAAAGTGTCAATCAAATGGGACAAAGTGCAGCATCAATGGCTATTCAAACATGCCCATGAGGATTTGTTTAGATAAATTGATACAAAGCTTTCTAAAGCCCTTTATTTTTCTCTTTTGACCATAATCTAGACAATCAAGATTAAAGGTTTTCTTCTTTTGATTCATAAGCATGCCTTTGTTATGCTTTTAATTTTACTGAATTTCTTTTGAATACACTTAATATTGCTGGGTTAGGTGTATATGATGTTCTGATGCAGAAATAAGCATGGCTACATGTATCCTAGGTTCTGATATATGTGCAATGATGGTACCTCATTGCTTTTTTTCTTCACACAAAAATATAAGGAGAAAAATGAAATGCTTAAAATCAAGTGTGAAGAGGAGTGCCAAAAATATGTGGATGTGTGTTTAGGAAATAAAATGAGAAGTGGAAATACATTATCTGGGATACAAATCAAATACCAGTAGACTTTCCCCTCATGCCTCAGAGGTTAGAGGGGTTTTGAGTTGTATCATAACTTGACACAGCTGAAGCACCAGTATAGACAGTGCTCCCCTTCCACACACATACCACCATGACGATGATGATGATAATGAGAGCATACATTTTGAAACTCTTACTATCTGCAAGGCATTGTTCTGGGAGAAAAAAAAGTCTCATTTAATCTTCATAACAATCATTTGAGATAAGCATGAGAAATAAATCCATGCCCAGAGAGGATAAACAACTTGCCCAAGAGCTGGAGTTTGGCTCAAGTCTGTCTGACTCCAGGGAACATGGTAGTAGCCATTATGCTCTACTGCTGTAATGCATTCCTGAAAACATGTCCAGACATCAAATCTGCAGAAGTCTTTACAAAAATAAAATGTTGTAGGGACTTTCCATTCTGAGACAGCTAAAAATATTTCAGAAGGCCATTTACATATTCTTTTGCAGAATATTTCTGTCAATTCTCATATGGTCTTTGTGTGCTTTTTCTTCAGAGTGAAACCAAAAACCAATTGGTGTAAGTCTGCTGAACATTTTAAAGAGTTTTTAATATACTTAATGATTTACAGTCTTGTCATAAATAGTGTCTGCATTTACATTTTTCCTCTAACTTAATGCAACTGACAAGGGTACAATGCAATAAGATACTAAACAACTAGCACAAACATTGTCTTATAAAGATGGTGACTGTCAAAATTTAACTGCCCACTGGTAGCTTGCTGCTATGCAACTATGCAGAAGTGGAAATGTTTCTTTGACAGTTCATAAAGGAACATCCAAATTCATCTTGAATTTCTGCCTTTATCTCTAAGAAAAACTGTCAATGAAAAAACTACTAAGTATTTCACTACTCCATTATTTAAGATTAGGCAGACACAGAATGTTAACAGGTGCATATATGTGTGCATATTCTCTCTCTCTCTCTCTCTCTCTCTCTCTCACACACACACAAAGTGCAACAGAAGTTGATATTAAACAAAAATTATGTAAGTTAAAATAACTTCTTTTGACTTACTATCCATATAAGAGGGGATCTAAAGCCCATAATGACTATAAACGGTTTCAAGTCTTCCCAGAACACTCTAAAATCATTTTAACTACAGATGATTTTACAAACCCAAGTCATGGTCATAATTGTGCATCACACACACACACACACACACACACACGCACACACAAACACACACAGAAAAAAGCCTGTGGGGCTTTCTCTTATTTCTGATTTTCAGTGAGTGGGTTATTAGTAGGATTGGGTAGAAGAGAGAAAGAGGATTTTCAATCTATCTAAAACTTTTATAATAAAATTATATTTATGTATTACTTGAGTAATTCAGAAAGCCATAAATTAAACAAATACACAAATATTAAAAATATAAGGTAAGAAAATAAATCAGAGGAATGAAATGTGCTTTGTTTCCTAGAAGTTAGTTTTAATAACAGTCTTTTGCTGTGGCCTTGCTTGTTGTCTCATGGATAATCTGCGCTCTGTGCTCATAGTTCTCTCAGGAAAATGTTCTGAGTACTTAGAATAACAAAATAAACATGAAGACACAGTGAGATAAATAGCTATAAATAATCCATTATGTATAAAAATGCCCTGTGCCATTAAGATAGTTAGAAATGTATAGAAAGGGGAAAATTACCTTGGCTAAAGTTTGGAGGCAGCTGAGAGGCCTCAGTAAAAACCTATCAGCTTTAAATCCTTGGTGATAGGAGAGAAGAGATAGGGTGGTTGAGGGAAAGAGATGAGAAAGCAAGAAGATGAAGCGGGGTCCTAACAGGAGTGTGGGTAAGTGGCACAGAATTGGGACATGGGCCATAGCCCTGTTTGATTCGGTGTTCAACTTGTGCCACAGGAAAAAAATTATGAAATATATCTTAAAAACTCAGACTATCAAAGGCAGGGATGATGTTATGTTATGAAACAAGCATAGATAAAAGTTGAGTCTAGGTTGTTGAAATTAGAACTCAGAGAAACAGCTCATTAAACAAATAGCCAGAATGATATGCTTCCATGCTCAGTACTGACATCCAATTTCAAAACCTGGCATGGAGCAGAGGGGAAGCGAGAGCAGGGAAGACAGTGCTTTCACACCGGAGTTAATCCAGCGGCCCTTCAGAACAGAGCAATAAAACTGGGAGGATCAGGGAGTTGGATTTAGAGTACATATTTGCTCTTGGAAGTAATGTTAACTAAGGTCACTATGGTTTTATCAATATTTATTCTTTTTAATAGTTACATTTATATATAAAATGTGACAATAACTGGTTGTGGCTTTGTCCTATTTCTCCATCGTTGGTACACAAGAATGGCCCGTCCATTATGGCTACTCTTGTTGAACCACCCATCAGCTGCAGCTGGAATTGTAGATATAGCAACACTGTAGAAAGTTATTTTTCCTAAAGGGCTTGACATCTGTCCTATAAAAGGTCAAAAAAAGCCACACCTTGATTTTATGGGTGGAATCTGATTCTAACTAGATCAGCATGCTGGGAGTGCACTGGACCGTGGGTCCTTAAGAGCTGGAAAGACTAAGTGGTTATTTCTGAGACCACCTGTTCCCCTTACATGTGGGTCTCTGTAACCTGTATTAGGTGGATGTAGTAAGAATCTCTCCTCCAGTGTTGGAAAGCTGAGCCTCTAACACCATCTCTCCCACATTCTAGCAAGGTGACAGGCAGGCAATCCATTTCTCATTACATGTCATTGACATGATGTACAAGTAGGTAATAACACTGCCCACTTCATAGGATTGTTGTAAGGACTGAATGAGAAAGCCATGAAAATCATTTGCCTGGTATAAATTAGAGCTGATTAAATGCTAGTGCTGATATTATTACTAGTATTCTAGCTTTAAATGGACAGAATATCTACTTGAGCTTTTAGTATTTTAAAATTAAAAGTGAGCAATAATTAAAAACACCTTGTAATACTGTTAATTGATATTCCTCTTTTAAGTTTAATACAGACTGTCCTAGAACTTTGTACACAAATGGATATGAATATACAAATAGACTAATAGAAATTTTTTCTTTATATATTATGATTTTAGTGCATAAATACTTAAAAATGTAGATTAGTAAATTATTATTACCTTTGGCCTCTCTTTCTTTTTAGAAATCACTCTTGATTGTATATTATATAAATTATAAGAAATTACTTTAAAATCATAATGCTTGGATAATAAAAGACAAAAAATAAATTTTGCTTATAGGTTCTACAGGAAATACAACATTTCCACAAGAATGCATGAAATGACTAAACATAACATGTATGAATCATAATACGAACCCTTCTTTAAATTTAAGCAGGGATTGTTTTCCGTCTTGTGAGTAAATATGAATATTTTAGACTCCTATATGAACATTTTTCTTTATTTTAGAGACTTTAATTATTATGTGTTTTGATAATATTCAAATAACTAAAATATATATAGGCAGTCAAATACGGTGCGATAACAATGAAATACATAAATTGAACAATTTCTTGTTCTATACAAATTTAACAATATTTACATCAGTTGTCTAGACAAACTGCAGGTTCTGCTGGGTTATACAGTCCATTTTGACATGAAAACTTGTGATTTTTATCAGTGAGTTAT